AAAAAAAAAAAAAAAATCATCACAACACCCCACCTTCACATGTACACTGAGTAAAAAGAAAACATCTTTAAACCATTTTAACAAAAATAATCTTATTATTTTAAAGCTGAAGTAACCTCAAAATGACCCAATTTCACATTAAATGTCAATTATGCTTTACAAAAGTTTCAAAAAGGAAAGAAAAAACAGCTACATGAAACTAAGTATGATTTTGTTGGAGGCCACTTCAGAGCATTTCTTCTCAAACAAAGTCTTAACCCTAAACATGCAGGAAAAAGCCAAAACCAGAATGCTCAGAATCAAACAACAAAAAACAGAGAAGTGGTAGAAAAATGTAAAAATGCACGCACGTTGCACAGTTTTCAAGGTCATACGTGAAGAGGCAATGAGAACCAAGACAATTCAGGAATTTATTTTTTTGTATTAATGCCACCTTTCCTGCAAACATCAGCTGAGAATCTGCCCTTCCACATCTGGCCAGAGCTCCAGCCCAAATTAGCCTCAAACTGAAGCTCCTTCTACTTCCAGAGCAATTTTTTTGGGTATTTCAGCATATCTAGGCCAGGTAGAGCAGAAATACTGAGGGAAGGCAAAAGGAGGAAAAAATAAAGCACTTCACTGCATATTTTAAGCTTCAAAAGGACCTCGGAGCAAAGGGTTTGCTTTGATTTATGGGAGCTATGCAGCAAGGCTCTGCTATAAAGAGCTGTCAGGTGTTTTTGCTACACCTTACACTGCTAAAGGTGATTGCCATGGCTTCGTCTCTTTTTAAGATCACTGAGTACCTGAAGGACTTCTTTGCCCCAGACAGAAACCTTACTGGGGAGCTGGCATTAGGTACAAACTGCCATCTGTATCCAGGACCTGCTTCTGTCAGATCAGAGGCATCATCCCAGACTTCAAAGAGAAGCCCTCTGTTTCCTAGAAAGTTAAAACAAAAGTATTCTCAGCAGCAGCCAGCAGAAATCCCAGAGCACATGCTGGAATCAGTGCTGTAGGAGGCAGGCCAGAGAGAAAATTTTAATAATAAATTGGCTCTGTTTGTGGGGTATTTTGCAGTCTAAGGCAGAACACAGATCTCGCCATAGGGAATTTGTTTTACCTTTAAACCCTCCAACAGAAATAACAAAACTCTGCAGAGAGAAGAACATCCAACCTGTTCACATATCTGCTTTTGCAGTAAAAAGCACTGAGGCTACCCAGTCAAAGTTAAGCCTCATTTTATGCACTAAAATCTCCTACTGCAATGCTCCACTCAAGGAGTGTCCCCAGAAGCCTCTGCAATAATTCCAGTTCAGCCATCCTTCCTCTAAATATTTTCCATGCCTTTTTCCACTCATTTTCCATAGTACACCAGTCTGACCTTCCTCCTACCATCTCCTATCTGCTCGTGGTGGGCTGAGCTCTCCACCTTGGTTTTCCTGGCCACAGAATCACAGGATAATTTGGAAGGAACCATTTGAGTTTATCCAGTCCAACCTCCTGCCACGAGCAGGGACATCTCCAACCAGAGCAGGTGCTCAGAGCTGCACCCAAACTGGCCTTGACTGTTTCCAGGGATGGAACATCCACCAGCTTTCTGGGCAACTTGTGCCATGGCCTCACCCCCCTCATGGTAAAAAAAATAACTTCCTTATAAACAATTTTAATAGAAACTATTTAAACAGATGGTTTTTATTTAAAACCATCACCCCCTGTCCTATTACTAATAGAAGTCCCTAATAAAAGTTTATCCCTATGTTTCTGAAAGCCCTCTTAGGCACTGGAAGGGACTCTCAGGTCTCCCTGGAGCCTTCTCTCCTCCAGGCTGGATAACCACAGCTCTCTCATCAGTCTTTCCTCATAGCAGAGGTGCTCCAGCCCGTGGATTATTTGTAGCCCCCTTCCCTACCACCCCAAAAGAAACTGATAGTGCAGACAGTGCTTTGGAAAGCCCTGTTTTCGATTGCATTCATCACCACGGGGTTTCTGCCCTGCATTTCTGTGTGTGTTTGCTTATTTGGAGCTCCAGGAGCTGCTCACCTGGCTGGGGGGCACCAAGTCTCCTGCCCTCACCAACAGGCTCCGTGGTGCATCTGATTTCCTGGGGAGAGACGTGCTTGACTTTACAGGGAATACCTGGAAAGGAGACAAAAGTGTTGTGGGAGCCTTGCAGACACAGCTGAGCTGCAGCATAAACACATCTCAGAGTCATGGGGTGGTTTGGGTAGGATGGGACCTTGCACATATGTAGTTCCAAGCACCTTTCTATGGATAGGGTCACCTTCCACTAGACCAGGTTGCTCTGTTGGAGCTCCTCTAGGAACTGGAAAATGCTCCAAGGTCTCTTTGGAGCCTTATTTTCTCCAGTCTGAACAGCCCCATCTCCCTCAGCCTTTCTTTATAGTATAAGTGTTCTATCCCTCTGATCACTTTTGGGTCCCACCTCTGGATTCATTCCAACAGGTCCATGATTTTCCCATGCTGAGAACCCTGTGTCAGAATAACTGGAGCTTCCTGGAGGTGTGTAGTGGTTAAGGTTTGCTAATTTGAGATTTTTTTGGTTAATGTATTCATGAGTGCAGTGGGTTTAGTGTTGGCTAATTACTAGTGTATTTACGAGGATGTGTTTACTCATTTCCTGCTGCGAGGTAGGAATAGGAGAAAGGTAAAGTAGGTTTAAAACTTTAAAAGGGTATAAAAAGAAATTTATTAATAGTAAATAAAATAAAAAGTAATAAGAATTTAAACAAAACCTTTAGGATATTTCTCTTCCCTCTACAACCTCTTTTTTTTTAATAACAATTTAAAGAAACAAAGCCTAAAATTTTAGTTAGTTTACTACTTCTAGAATAGTTTTTCTTCATTTTATTTAGGGAGAGAAGTCTCTTGTTAATTTTATGGAGATTACAAGAAAATAGTATTTTGTGTCTCTATGAATAGCAGCTGACTGGGGAAATATGCAATCATTAACTTCTTTCATTTTACTATAAGCTTTTCTCACAGCTGTGTTTATGGGTTGTATTAACTTACAGGGTATTGTTTTAAAGATTACTTGTTTAAAGGGAAAGGTTCTTATTATCTATCTATTTGTATCACTTCTGTAAATGCCTCCCATGCAAAACAGGCATAGGGACAAGGTGAGTCCTACAATTCCCACACTGGTAACCCTGAACATCTCTTGAATTTTGCAGTCAGGGCCAAACTATATTTAAAAAAATAGAATTCACATGTCTCTGCTGTTACCTGCAGCAGTGACCTGCACTGGCTCCTCAAAGAAATCCCCGGTGACCGTGAGCTCCGTGCCCCCTGCCAGGCTCCCTCCGGCTGGGAACACGGAGAATATCTCTGCAGGGGAAGGAAAAGAGGGATCTGAGCACAAGCCTTGCAGATGTTAACCCCAGCCCTATTTCTGGGAAAGCCTTCAGTGCACTTGCACTGCTTCCAGCCAGGCTCCTGTGAAGGAAACCAGCTTCTCACTGATCCCTTTTTTGGCAGCCTCTGGCATGACACCAGGAATGAGCAGCATGGATAGTTTGGCCACATGGCAGGGGGAACACTGCAAAAATCCTTGGGCTGTTACTTAGCAGTGGCTGCATCTGTCATGCTCAGATTGCAAATTGCTCTGTTCTGTGCTATTGAGGATCTCTGGTGGGGAAAAAAAAAAGCAGAATTAAAACTGTTTTAATCCTCTTGACCTTCTCTGACTCACATCTCAACTTAGTCCTTAGGTTTAAAAGTTACCATTCTTTCCAATAATCCCTCAGACTTCAGGGACAAATGGAGGGAGCAGAATATCTGAGTGTCCACATCACAACCATGAGGTCTTTTCAGGATTTTATCTGTTAGAAGTCTGCCATTCCACAGGAAAACTATTTTTCTTTTTCATGACAATTACCCATTTTGCACTCATATTGGAGTTAAACCACCCAGTTCTACTTGTATAGCTCTGAAAAAAAGAAGTCTAATAAGAAAAATATGAGGAATTTTGGTCTATACCTGCATCTTTTTTGTTAATTCATCTGGTATTTAAACACTAATTTTACAGTATTGACTACTGACTAGCACAGTACAGGATAATCTAGCAGATCTTTCTGTTCATGCTCTGCCCACAGCCAACTTCATGCATGGTTATTTCATTTTACTCTGCTTTAAATTGTGAATAGAGACATAAAATTAGCCTTCTTAACAAAGAGTTGTCTACAATACAGCTTGAAACATCACATGCAGGTTATTTTTAATGTAACTTAAATAATTTTTTTAACTAATATGCAGTACCCTGCCATTCACCACTTATCCAAAACTCAATTCTTGGAGTAGCTGAACATCACCTCCTCTCTCTAGCCAGTGTGGGAGTTTTCATCCTGAGGTTTGCATTTCCAAAATTTCAGCCTCAACAAATACAGAGTGATTTAAGAGGGGAAAGTTTCTCCATGAGCAACACCTCAACTCTGTAACTGATCGGACAGGTCAAGGAACAACATCAATCTGCTTGTCTCATAATCTTTATCTGCAGCTTTTGGCTTAGTCAAGCCCATACCAGGGGAGTGGAGCACCAAAATGAGGACAAAACAGAATTACATCCCAGGGAAAAGCAACAGTGAGAGGTCTTAGATCACACTGAGACTGATGGAGGACAGTGCCAGTGAGGTGGATCAGTGAATACCTGGATGAGTCTGGTACAGGAAAAGCTCCTGTTTGGCACTGATGAGCCAAGCACCTTTGTGCACTGCTGACCTGCAAGAGAGAAAATGCCTGAGAGATCCTGGGCCATGTAAATAAAAGCAAACCTTCATTTGGCAGGGCTGGAAACTCACTCTGCAGAGGAACAGTGGAACATTTCTGCAAGCTCCAACAACTCCTTTCACCAGCACATTGAAGCATTGATTCATGAGGCCCCATTAAATGGCTGAAACACTTTATTAGAAGTACTAGCACATTGTAAAGTATGCTTTGACACAGTCAGAACCTGTTTTCACCTCTTTTAATTGTTAAATTATTTTCCATTTGGATGAGTAGTTAAAAGCAAGGTGAAAGGTTTTAATTCAGCTAGATTTAATGGATCACAGAATGGTTTGGGTGGGAAGAGATATTAAAGGGCATCCATTCCTACCCCCTGCTATGGGCAGTGGAAGGGACACCTTCCACTAGACCAGGGTGCTCCAAGCCCCATCCAGCTTGGCCTTGGACACTTCCAGGGATCCAGGAGCAGCCACAGCTTCTCTGGGCACCCTGTGCCAGGGCTTCACTACCCTCACAGGGAAGGATTTTTCCATAATATCCAGTCTGAATCCATCCTCCTTCAGCCATTCCCCCTTGTCCAAAATAAGATGTCTCATGTTCTGGTCACTGAAGTCAAAGTATAAAACACCAAAGTGGAAATACTTTGGGGAGAAACATTCTCCCATGTTATTCCAAATGTGACTACCATCTTCTCAAGGTGACAAACCGTATTTCTAAGCAATGAAACACACAATAAGGTAGAAGCATAATTCACTCATCCTGGACTCAAATGCAGCTCTATTCCTATGCAAAACTACATAAAAAGAGAGAAAATATTCTTTTACTCACTTTCCTTTGTTAAACACTGAGAAGCTGATGTTGTGGGACCCTGGGGGAGAGAAAAGTGACAATGCTTTCAGGCAGAAGTATGAAGTACATCCTACCAAAGGTTGTCCAGGTTCTCTGGGCCCAATTCTCCCTTCCTTATACTTTTCTTACAACAGTAAGGAAAACCTATTTTACATATTTCACTCACAATATTATTCCCAAACAGGAAGGCTGGAGCTCAAAGACTCCACAAGAAATTAGAATCTTTGCCAGGGCGCTTGGAAGTGAGGAAAAATTAAAGGGATCCCACCTGCTACTGGAGACTGTGACTAGAAGGGAACACTCAATTTATTCCTCTAATAAAGCACTAAAGGGAAGGCACACCACAGACAAGAATATTAAAGTAGGAAACTCAGCAAGGACCCCAATCCCACTGTTGGCTGTCAGCAGTGCCCACATCTCTTCATGGTTTCCCTTCATCTTCTCCCAGGCTGTGCAGAGGACACAAACCATGGCAGGGGCTGTGCTGAAGGCTGGCAAGCCTTGATCTGAAGCTGCTTTTATGGACTCAGCCCTGAGCCACATTCCAGCTTTGGAGACAGAACAGAAACTCATGACAGACACCCTCCTCCCTCTGTTCTCTGGAGCTGCAGGAATGACAGAAACCCATGGGTTTTACCCCTTTTCACCAACCTATGTGATTCCCTTCCACCCGGCACTGCAGGGTCCCCAGTCCATCCTTCACCTGAACGGGGTAACTGTGGAGAGACAAAGGACTTCACTGAGCCTTGGGAGCAAAAAATAAGCAAAATATAGTAGAATCAACTAACCTATAGAAGTTGTGGGCTTATACACCTGATATAGTCATGGTTTGCTGTCTAGAAACATGGGAGTGAGAAGCAGGTGAGATGGGAGAGGAACAACCCATCTTCCCACCTAAAGATCAAGAGTTCAGCAGCTTAGGAAGATGTCTTCCAGTGGGAGTGCCCCAGCTTGGCTCCTTTACATGTATTTCTAGAGGCTGATGCTGTTGATGGCCTTCAGAACACTCCCCCCCCCGCCCCCGCCCCCCGCCTTGAAATCAAAAATTGAGCAGGGATAAGTGCAGGCACAAAGGGATGGTGAATAGGACAAAAATGTTTCCCCTCTACTTGCTCCTCTGCAGGTTCCTAAACTGTGAGAATGAGCAGGTAGCAATTAAAACAGATATGCTGGAACTACATGAACCCTCTGGAGTCATGGAATGACACAATTCCCATCATTAACTCACATTTATGTTTAAGTAGTTGGAGCTGCAGCAAACCAGCAGACCTCACCCACCCCATCACAGACCATTAACTCCCCAGGGTCTGTCTTCATTTTAAGCCAAAGCAGAAGAGTTTCTCCAAAAAGCCACAAATACTTTTGTGCACAAGCTGTGCTGAACCCTTGCACTAACACAAACCCAAAGTAAACCAGAACTGACGAGCTTCCAGCTCTCCTGTCAGCAAAAGAGCAGAGGCTGGTCCATCCATCTTCTGATGTAAGAACAGCTGGCCTGGGCAAAATATAAACAGGAAAGAGATGTGATGCAGGTGAAAACCTGATCCTGCTGAAATCAGTAGCCAATATTTTCCCAAGGGGCAGGAATTTTCTCCCACTTGTAGCTAACATTTCTAACCTTCTATAAAATGGGACAAGCCCTAATCTCTCATCTCTGCACCTGCAAATTGCATTCCCTAAATAGTGTGGGAGCTGCAGCTCTGTGAGAGTGTGGCAGGGCCCTCTTGGGGACACCCCATGCCAGCCCTGAATGATCCAATCCCTCCTCCCTGAGGGCAAGACCCACCCACACCTTCCCAACCAGCAGGCAGCACCAACTACAGCAAGTACAATCGAGATGCAGCTCAGACATTTCTTGATTTCATTGAGGAAAAACACTACAAACAACTTCCAGCAGAAATCACCCAAGCTCCTAATAAAAAAAAAAAATTAAATATATTTTCCTTAAAGGATCAGTATGGGACAACTTCCACTGCAAAGGAGGAAGAAGGTGGGAGGAATAAATTCTGAGTAATTAGCAGAGTAAGCAAAGGCTGGCAATGACTCTTTGAGAATTAACAGGCAATTAAAGGAAATAGGTAATTAAAACCTGTAATGCAAACAATTTGTGATGACCCATGCCTCACCAGGCAGTTTTCTATGGCCCATGTTTCAGAATGCAGTTTTATGATGTTTTTCTAAAAGAGCTTGCTTTTATTAATACAGGTGGCTGATACTGAGAACCATTCCTTTCAGGGAAAACTAGAAAAACATTAGTGCTGTCAAATGTTTGTTCAGCATAACTGGACCAGTGCATCCCATACAAAGCATGGAAAAAGGTGCAGAACACCCTTGGAAGCATAAAAAACATTCCCTTTATTTTTTTGCTCCAAATCCTGAATCAGCGTGACTGAGTGACAGACTGCTCTGGTCAAGTCCAAGTCCCCACCTGGTACCTATTTCCTAACACACCAAAAATGGGCAAATTCTTCATGTGAAGCTACAAAGGTATGCTGTGATTTTGAGGCCATTTCCTCTTGGTGAGGCTGAGCTGTAAATGAGTAATCTGGCAGCAGAGCACTGCAGGCACATCCAGCCTGCACTCAGACAGAGCAGCCTTTCTTCCCTCCCATCAAAGGTTCCAGGGCTCCACCAGAGCCAGGTAAAACAATAATTGATCCCAAACAAAGGATGCTGACGTGCACGGTGTAGGGATGGCATGGCAGGAATCTGCACTGGACCTTCCTTCATGCCAGCAGGGACTTTAATCACTTAGCAAGGGACATTTCCAATCAGCTTGAGAAGTCGTTAAAAAGTATGTCAGTGTTAAACATCTGATGCTTTAATTAAAATTTCTAACTACTGAGAATACACACCTTTCCTGGCTCCTGAAATGATCCTTAAACTGCCAGCAGAGTAACTATGGATTAATAGTTTATCTTTAAAATACTTACCTGGGCTTAGTTCTTCACTGCCACTGGCACAAAAATCATAAATTAACATCTGATTACATATCTATACATATGGAAATACATATGACACACAGCAGGACAGTGTTGATGCTCATTTTGGATTCACTGTGTTTAAAGGGGCTGCTGTCCTAAAGTAAGGGTTTTTTTAAACCTCGCTGCTTTTCTCTGTTGCATGTAACCAGAGAAGCAACATTAGAAAAAAAAAAAAAAATCAAACCCCTGAGAACAAGAAAACAATTACAGAGTGTTTAAAGCAGTGAACAACAAAGCCTTTTGTCTCAAAATACTTCTCCTTAGTCTTCTGGTTCACCAGAGCATCTGCTTTAAACTAATAGTTTTTTCCCTTTAAAAAAAATGCAGATCAAAAGGGGAAAATTTATTTTACTTTTCGATTCCGACATTATTTTAATTAGTTAAATTTTAATTTGCTAGCCAAAAGAAAATCTACAGCAGCCAGCTGCAATTACAGTACAATTCACACTGAGCTGTGATTGACTGTGCTGCCAGTAAACCAACCAACCAGCTTAATGGACCAGTTGCAATTAGATTAACAAAGTTTGCTGGAGCCCAAATCATGAGCTGCAATAAACCACAAAGGAAGTAAATGGCAATTCTGGGCCAACTGGTTGCAATTTATTGCTGTCAAGGAGGCTGATGGAAGAAATGTCAATTTACAGGGACTGCAGCAGATAGCTGAGTGTTCATAATTACCCATCAATATAATCCACGTTGAAGTCCAGAGTCTCATATCTGCCAGCAATTGTCTTCCCATGAATCTGTATTAAATTTCCTGTTTAAGAGGAAATGGAAATTGAAGAGAGTCTTTTAAAAGCAGAGAACTTGTTTGCAGATTTTCTGAGCTGAACAAAAGGAATTAATGGTCTTTATAGATTTTGCAGAGGTTCCTGCACTGAATGTACTCTCATGGCTTAAGATGATTTTTTACCATGGCTCAAGATGATTTTGCACTTAATTCACTTTTCTCAAAGCACATGTCTTTATTTCCCACCAAAAAAACCCAAATTAATTCCAAAGTTTTTGCAGATCTGTATTTGCACAGAGCTGACAATTTTTCCTTAACTCTTTTGTTAACTAAACCCCAATTTCTAACCCAATTCCACTGTAGAACCTCATGAAACAACCAAAATTACATCATTTGTACACCAGACAGAGTGAAGGTGTAAAGAAGGGTCTTGGCATATCCATGACCACATTACTCTCCTGCTCTTCACTCACACTAAAAGGTGAAACATCCATCCAGCTAATACAGGGAAATCTCCATAATGACACCTATGCAACTAGAGCTGAATTACACCTGAAAACAATTGGAAATAAAGGATTTTTTTTTTTTAGATTGAGGCTCATCTGTGTGATATAATCATCCATGTAAATGTCTGAACTCTTGAGTGACCAAAATCTTTTGATTATTCTTGACTTTGAGGATCAAACTTCCAATTTTCTCTAAAGAAACTGGCAAAACCAGAAATAATAGAAATAGAGGGGGAAAGAATCTCCTGTATTGCAGTTAATTTTTCAGACCAAAATCAGTGAATGACTTCTCATGTAACTTTAAAGTCTGATTAAGACCCCAATAAGCAAAAGGTCTGTATGGCATTAGAGATTAAAGAAAGGTCCTATACCTGGGGTGCCAGATGATGGATTAATTTGGTAAACCACAGGTGTCTGCTCGGCTGAGAACTGCAAAGAGAGATTGGCATTGAAATGTCAGATATTTCTGCAGCACTCCAACCCCACCTGACAGTGCACTGCTCACAACCGGCCAGCAGCTGCACTTCAGAGACCCGCACTCCACATCTGATCTTTGAAGCAGATTCCTGTTCCAGGAAAGGAGTAAGAAGAATTATTCCTTTCTTACTCCCTCTCCATTCAGAGTCTGGATTAGTGATATTTTTACATCTTCTTTTGTGCCAAAATTGCCCACCCTGGCTTGATCCAATGTCAGAAGACACAGTTTCATACACTATCAAATTTCTAAATCATGCTTTAGCTGAAGTTAAAACTTGCATTTCATCTTGAATAGCGACACCATTTTTCTTCCCAATAGTATATCCTTTAGAACAATTCCATCATCACAGATGTGAAATACTTCAGCCACTCTGGCAAGTTTGTTGGATACCTTAAAGCAGTGGAGCAAAAACTTTGTCTTGGCCCATCTTACAGCAATACAACAGAGACTTTTGGGGGAAAGGACCACCTTTGCCTCTGAGGAAAAAAACCCTTGAAAATCATCAAGTCCAAACATTAATCCAACACTGCTAAATCCAGTAAAACGCATCCCCAAATGCCACATCTGCATGGCTTTTCAATCCCTCCAGGGCTGGTGACTCCACCATTTCTCTGGTGTTAGACAATCTTTTGGGGAAGAAATTTTCCCTGATATCAAATCTAAATCTCCCCAGTGCAACTTGAGGCAATTTTCTCATCCTGTATCTTTGGAGAAGAAGCCAACCCCCATCTGGCTGCATCCTCCTGTCAAGGAGTTGTGGAGAGTGAGAAGATTCTCCCTGAGCCTCCTTTTCTCCAGGCTGAGCCCCCTCCAGCTCCCTGAGCTGCTCCTCGTCAGACCTGTGCTCCAGACCCTTCCCCACCCTATTTGGACATGCTCATCTTCCCCACCTCCTTTATGATCCCCCTCAAGACCTCATTGGCACTTACAGAAGCTGCTCACAGCCCAATAAATATAACAAAAAAAATTATTTTCTTGCATTAATTCAAAGATACCCTAAGCTTTCCTTGAACCCCATTCCCTTTCAGAGCTCAGCCTTTGCCTTCTCTCCTACTCCTGGTTGTGCTAAAAATTAATGAGCAGGTACAAACTTCCACCAGCAATGGCCACTTCTGGAGAGCAAAGGCAACATCAAACCATACCCCAGGCTGGAGAAGATGTGGAGAAAGAAGCCAAAAGCAGCAGGAAACTGGGGCCATTGGCTGACACAAGCCTTGTGAGCTGCTCAGACTTGTTGCTGCCTGCAGCAGCTTTTCTAATCTAACACAGAGGCAAAATTAATTTTAATATGTGTAGCTCCCAGGGCCCAGCTCCATAACAAAGAGACACATTGTGGTTTATTTAGCTTGGAATGTGCCTCATTAACAGCATCCCCTGGTGATTTTTCATCAGCTCTCTAAGCTAGCTGAACCATCCAATGACTCTTCAGCTTTAATGTGCAATTTACTGAAAATGCTGGGTATTTTTGCTCAAAGTTAGCACAGAGGTGGGATGTGACTTCCAAAAACACCAGGCCTCATCCCAAAGCACACAGTCATGGTTAAGGATTCTGCACTGCAAGAGATCACAGAATCCCAGAATGGTTTGGGTTGGAAGGGACCCTAAAGACCTTCTCATTCCATGCCCCTGCCACAGGCAGGGACACCTTTCACTGTCCCAGGTTTCTCCAAGTCCTGTCCAACCTGGCCTGGAACACTTCCAGGGATGGGGCAGCCACAGCTTCTTTGGACAACCTGTGCCAGTGCCTCTCATTAAAGAGTTTTTTTCAAACATCCAATCTAAACCTACTGTCTTTCAGTTTGAATCTATTCCCCCTGGTTCTGTCTCTAACATGCCTTTGCAAAAAGTCTCTCCTCATCTTTCTTTAGCTTAGGGTTGGAATTGAATGGTCTTAGAGGTCCCTTCCAGCCCAAACCACTCCCTGATTCCATCCATTTCAACATATTTCCTGTGACACAATGTTGAAGCTTCACTCCCTTGAATACCTTGAATTCTTTATCCTCACTTCTGCACTTGGTGATTACCTTGAAAGAATAGTTCTCTTTCTCCACCTCAGTCAGGTTGTTAATCACATGTCCTTTAAAGATCACCTCCACGTAGTACAAACCCTCCTGTGGTGAAGACCTAAGTGGAAGAAAATGTGTAATATTATATATTTTTAAACAAATTGTGTTTTAGGAAATGCTAAATCCTTTACAGAGTCTCCATTCACAGCAAATTCACTGAGACATCCATAGAGCAAAGAAACTTTACATGTCAGCCCAAACTTCACACATATGAAGCTAAACTTCAAAAGAACAATTAAAAAGAAATGTGGAAGTGCAGCAAAAAAATCACAGTTAAGAGCAGAAGGTGACAGGGCTGCATTGGAATTCCACCAAAATTACTGTTAATGCAAAACACATTCTCATTAGGCATGCACAGAAAATAATTGTTATTCATTAGTAAAAGAATGACCCAGGGCTCTCTGGATCTGCAAGGCATCTTGATCCTTGTCCATAAATTAATGCTGCATCCTTGTTTCACACGGTTTTCCAGCACAGCACCCAGCAGAATTAACTCTCAGCCAAATCATAGCAGCAAAATATGGAAGAGTCCAATAGGTCCTTCTTCAGACACCCCATCTTCCAGTCCAACAGCCTGTGTTAAAGCTGTGACAGGATAGAAAACAGGCAGCTCAAACTGCTCACCGGGTGCTTGGAACCATATTTTTTTCCTGTTCTGTTCATAACCCCTCTCTATCGCCTTGGACAGGTCAAGGACACCAAAAACTGGTAGAGTCTCCTCCAAGATTTCCTTGGGAGTTTTGCATCTGAGAGCTAGATGTGTACAAACCTTTGAAGGTCTGAGTTTGGACTGCCCAAGAAGCCTCACTGTGACCCTCATGCCTCAAGGTATCTTTGTGTTTCATGAAGTTAAAAATCAATCAGCCCTGGTTAGGAGGTGCTCAGCGAGGCCACAGCATGAGGATTTGTCAAGGAATTTTGAATGAGTTTGAGATAGGATTTCTGAATTATTTTAAATAATGTGATTTATTTTTCTTACGTTCTACATAAGCAAGAAAGGTGAGTTCAACTCACATCTTCACCACATGGCTCAGAAGTTCACAAGACCTCCAGTAACAAGACTTTATATATATGCCCTTTTAATAAAAATTTATTAACCCATAAAACACTATCAACAAGGATATTTATACTTTCAACCCAATCCTTAAATATCAACCCAATCCTTAAATATTTTGTCTTATAGACTCATACTACAGAGTAAGTTTTCTTAGTCAATCATGTTGTAACACACAAACCTACAGTACAATTCCCTAAAATTCTGAATGCTACTTTTACTTAGTGTATCTCTGTTTTAGACTATAAATCCACATTCTCACTTCTAATACATAAATTTGGAAGCCTTTTCCAAAGTTTCAGATTAAATCCTGTGTTTAATTCTAAATTTTGGCTTATAGGCCCAAAGTTGTGAGCATTCCCTGCATTTCAGATTCCAACACCACAGGAATTTTTTCAACTTCCAAACTTCCTGTGCAGACACTGAAGGAAAATGAGGATCCTGTTTGACAAAGGGCAAGGTCTCACCCACAGTGCAACTATGGATCTTACCTTGTTCTGCACCTTATGTTGGGCAAGTCCAAATACAGAGCAGAGACATCACACGGCAGCCTGGGCAGGTCTGGATGCACCAGGAACACCTCCAGCTGGGATGGACCAGCTGCAGAGACAGATTCTACCTGGTGGGATGTTGAGCCTAAGCAATAAAAGTCAATCAGAAGAGCTCTGTGATGTCGGAACCCAAAATGTCCCTCAGACATTTTTTGATGTTCCAAGTCCAATTCAAAAGCATTTAAGATCCTAACAAGCAGCTAAAAGCAGCTGTAATTTTAAATTTAAGCCACAAAATAATACCAACCTTACAAAAAAAACCCAAAAAAATCACAAAAGTTTAAATATTATAGTAAAAGTAGTCACAAAATAAAGAAAAAAAAA